TACTAATCCTGTGCTGTGTGTCTCCCCGTGGATTAGTTTTGTATTGTCTCTTATTTTCCAACCAGCAATAAAGCTGCCGTTTTTGAGTTTCACTCCAGTCTTCCGAGAGTCTGCATTTTGGGTCCTTTTCCTCGTTCCTGCCTGCACACAGCTGAACTATGACATTTAGGTATGTAGACATGGTCTACATACATACCTGCATGTTAGACCTAATCCCGAACCAAACTATTTAAAGCGGTATTTCCTTTAATTGTTGCTCCAGTTTTGGATATAATGAATTTATTTTTAGAAAATGGATACGTACCATAGGATTTTAAGGTTGCTGTAATTAAACCTCTATTTAAGAAACCCTCTTTTAATCAAGACAACTTAATGAACTATAGACCTATATCTAATCTTCCCTTCATATCTAAAATTCTTGAGGTAATAGTTGCCAATCAGGTGTGTTAGCACTTAAACAATAACGACCTGTTTGAAGAGTTTCAATCTGGCTTTAGAGCTCATCATAGCACTGAAACAGCTCTGGTGAAAGTTACTAATGATATTCTCATGGCCTCAGATAATGGACTGGTGACCATTCTGGTTCTACTGGACCTCAGTGCTGTTTTTGACACATTCAATCACAATATTCTCATAGAAAGGTTTGAAAATGTTGCAGGGATCAAAGGAACAGCACTAGGCTGGTTTAAATCTTACTTGTCCAACAGACTCAAGGTTTGTTTACGTAAATGATAAATCCTCTTCAACCTCTATGTTACTTGTGGCGTACACCACAGGGTTCTGTACTTGGACTGATCCTTTTTACTATATATATGTTCCCTATTGGTAAAATCATTAGACAGCATGGGATAAATTTCCATAGCTATGCACACCTAATCCTGATGAACCTAATCAGTTATAAAGATTACGGGCATGCTTGGAAGACATAAAAACCTGGATGTCTTCAAACTTCCTCCTTTTTGAATTCCGACAAGACAGAAGTTGTCTTTGGACCAGAAGCTCAGAAAAACAAATTACTTGGTCAGTCCCTTCATCTGGATGGCATTAATTAGCCTCCAGTAATAAAGCAAAGAACCTCTGTGTTATTTTTGACAAAGACATGTCATTTAGATCTGACATGAAAGAGGTTTCTAGGGTCTCCTCCTTCCACCTCCGTAATATTGCTAAAATTAGAAACATCCATCCAGGAGTGATGCTGAAAAACTAGTTGATGCCTTTGTTACTTCAAGGCTGCATTACTATAACTCTTAACTATCAGGAAGTCCACATAATGCAACTAAAAGTCTTCAGCTGATCCAAAATGCTGCAGCCAGGGTTCTGATGAATATCAAAGAACAGATGACATCTCCTCCCGTGTTTAAATGCACTTTAGAACAGCACGCAGCAACACTACATATGAGCGAGCGGGAGGAGGCATGGGGTCTTCACAGAGCCCCACTCTCTGCCAGCCGTCAGGGCGGGGGGCCTGAAGGTGGAATTGGCCATCTGATCGAGGCCTGGTTGCAGCGGCCCCCTGCCACTGCGGAGCCGGGGACGGTCTGCTTGATTTCCACCTCAGGGAGGAGGGCAACATCTGGGTCTGGGTATGAGTTCCCCCTCCGGGGCAAGAATACCTGGACCTGGGATGTAGAGAATGTTTGGGGAGTGTGATTGTGTGTACAGTGTCCATTTATGTCTGTGTCCACGTTGGGTGAGGGCCGAGTGTTTGTGGTTGTGTGTATGAGGGTGGGAAGGTATGTTTGTGTCTGCCGTACACATCACCACAAACAACACCACAAGCAGAGCACAGTTTTAAGCCAGCGTGGTGTGATTATAGATGCCGTGCAGGTGGGTCCATCTCACATGCAGCGGCATCGCAGAACACGCCCCGCCACATACCCTCTTCCCCCGACTAAGACGAGGAGCACCTCCCCCCCCCCTCCATGAGCAAGCGAGGGAATAGGCCTGGAGCATCAGCGCCCCAGCCCAGCCACGGGGAAGTGACTACCTGGGCGTTCGCCTGTAGATCTAGCGGCGCTGGTGACGAGGTGGTTCCAGGACCGCCCACGCTTCCAGCGGCACCCCCATCCCGCTAGCGCACCAGCCTGTGGCTCACCTGAGCCGGTCGTTCCCTCGCGCTGTCCAACAATTACAATAATTATACGGTTGCTGTAACAGATTGTAGATACAATGCAGGTGAGTCCATCTCACCTGCAGCAGCATCCCAGACCAGCCACAATAATAAAGATTTTCTATTTCATTATAAACTTTGTCCTAATTATGTCATGAGTTTTTACTATTTAAAAAGAAAAGAAAGCATCACAAAAACACTTAAGGTCATGAAAATTAATTGTATTGCTGCAATACTTAAATATCTGTGGTCTAATCTATTTTTATTCACCAATCTCATTGTAGCAATAATATGCCTTTTTGGTCCAAGTTAATTATTTGAATTTTAAAACTCTTTTAGCCAAATAACTTTGAAGTTGTTACTAAAACTCATCATCCCCATTTACTACTTTTGTTTCATTCTTTAAAAATTTAGAAGCATAAATATCAGTCTTTTGGAAAAATTACATTTTATACAGTATTATTAAGTCTACATATTCCAAGTGAGTTATGTCAGAATCCACTAGAGCAATTTAACTCTATTACATCATAGCATTCTATTTGCAAGAATCCCAGTGTTAATCCACTGTTCTTGGCCAATGATATCCACTCCTCAGCACTATGGGGGCGCTAATGTACATCTACGCTGGTTGCCAACCACCATGAACATTTAAAGAGCAGAAGAAGAAGAAGAGGACACTAAAGAGTTCAGGTGCACGACATGAGGATTTAATGAGACAGCTTTTATCTTACTGCTTTCGTGGAAGATCAGGTGAGAACCATACAAATTCCCTTACACATGATGTTTATATAAATATATTCATCCAATAAAGCAAAGTAATATAGGTTATTATATTACGTTCGGATACACCAAAGCATCTAATTTTTGACAGTTTAGCTAGCCAGCATGCTAGTAGCAAAAGTTTGACATTCTGTTGCTGTTGGTTTGATTAATTTTGGTTTTAGCATCACAAAACTTGTGGTTTTAAAACTAGTGAGATCTGTTTTCAGAAAATATTTTACAAATGAAACAAAAACTGTAGGACAAATATGCTTATTGTTCAACCATACTAAATCATTATTTTAATTTATAACTTTAAGAAATATAAAAGGTTAAGGAAATGTGGATATGAAAATTAACTCATTAAGATTTGCAGTAACCTTAGACCAAATAAAATATACGAAACAGAACTTCCACAGGTAGGGCATGCAGCCTCTGACACACAGTGATACAAGATAGGAGGAACTGTTGGGAAACACAGATATTTGGAACCTTTAGGGGAGCTCTCCCCAACATAAATAGATTTTTCGATCTGTTTATTTCTATGTCTACATACATTTTGTAGTATAATGTGTTATTTCTAAAGTCATTAATACCTGATCTTTGCAGGGGATGGCGGCAACAAGGCCACGGAGAGCTAAAATAAATCCCATACAAGATGCTAGGTATTACTGCTCCTTAGGTGAAGACAAGGCAGGATTTGATGTGAGGTATATTGATTCATTTAAAGGTGAGTTGATTCCAAAGAATGCAGTCAGCTTCTCAAAATAGAAATTTTTGTTTTTTGTAGTTTTTTTGTAGCATACCATGCATGAGAAAATTAATAATCACGAATATAATTATACTTGTTTTATTATTATTATATTTCTATTTTTTCCTTGTCTTTCCCCAAGGAATTATGAACATGTTACATGTTCCAAAATAAATAATACAATATAATCAAATAAAAAACATATTTAAAAACAAGAAGGATTTTAATTAAATGGTTTATAGTTTATTGCCCAATTTGTTTTTGATGTGTGTCTTTAGGTCGCGGTGTGTTCAGCTGTCGGTCATTTCAAAAGGGAGATTTTCTTTTTGAGTACAGAGGACAAATCATAACTAAAGAGGAACAAGAAAACCGAATGAAACTTTACCATGATGCACTCAAGGTTTTCATATTTGATTTCAAGTTCAATGGAAAACAGTTATGGTATGTAACTACTTTGATAAAGGATAAAATACATTAGGTTTACAAATTATAATATTCAAATAATATTTTGAATTGAATATTAAAATGTTATTCAGACGTTCTACAACCTAATATACTTAATGACTTTCTTTACAGAGTGTAATTGTTATTGTATACTTTTTGTTTTAGTGTTGATGCTACCAGAGAGGACGGCTCACTTGGCAGACTTGTAAATGACGATAATGTGAATCCAAACAGTAAAATGACAGTTACCAGAGTGGATGGAAGGCCCCATCTCTGTTTGTTTGCAATCAAAGATATTGGTCCAGGAGAAGAAATCACCTATAACTATGGTGATTCCAACTGGCCATGGAGAAGCAAGGTATAATGTAAATAGTACAGTATAAGTATAAATAGTATTAAATGAATAAAGGCTATACTGAAAAGTATGCATACACACACGGGTCCTGTGTAATACTCAACTGGACAGGTCCAGACATTAGGAGGACTGTATTCATCTTGGCTAGACCCAAAGACTGCCATTCATTATTCACGCTTCTTCCTTAGAAATCCAACATGGTGCCATCTCAGGCTGTGGATGAGAATGCAGCCAGTTCCTCTCCTAACGACGCAACAAAGGTAAATTGGAGTTTCAGTGTCAGATTGTTTTAGTTGTAGACTGAGGTGCTAGTTATTAGGCAGTATTGAGGTATGTGGGTCCTTGGTTATCTTGACCAAGTAAGATGCACGCATTAGGAGGACTGAGATTTGAAACAGGAAATATAAACAACTGAGTTCTACCTACAAGTGCGCCCACACACACGGGTCCTGTGTATTACTCAACTGGACAGGTCCAGACATTAGGAGGACCGAGTTTCGAAATGAATTCAGATCAATGAGAGTTACTCTGGCAATTGTGCATACACACACGGGTCCTGTGTATTACTCAACTGGACAGGTCCAGACATTAGGAGGACTGTATTCATCTTGGCTAGACCCAAAGACTGCCATTCATTATTCACGCTTCTTCCTTAGAAATCCAACATGGTGCCATCTCAGGCTGTGGATGAGAATGCAGCCAGTTCCTCTCCTAACGACACAACAAAGGTAAATTGGAGTTTCAGTGTCAGATTGTTTTAGTTGTAGACTGAGGTGCTAGTTATTAGGCAGTATTGAGGTATGTGGGTCCTTGGTTATCTTGACCAAGTAAGATGCACGCATTAGGAGGACTGAGATTTGAAACAGGAAGTATGAAACCCCAACCCTAAATCTGGTTTGCATAAAGACGTAGTTCTCGGCTTGGTTGAAATGAACTCTGATGTAGTTAGATCGCATATTTGAATTTCAGCTGATCAAGGAGCAAGAATGAAGCTTACTATAGGAAGGAGCATGTAAATACAACCGAAACAATCGCTAAACTCTTTCCTGTTAATGCTAAGCACATTTATGTAACATTGTTGTGTAAAGGCCATCCGTTATGTCTTGATGGATTCATGACTTCATGATTTAATTATACTTTGTTACACTCCCAGTCAAAACTTTGGACACATCTTCTCATTTCAGAAAGAACAAATTGTAAGTCTAATCTTTTTTGGGTGTTGTGGGTCCACAATGAATTTTCTTTTCATTGTGGTTTTGTAATATATACCATAATATAAAACCTAGAAGAAATTGTTTTGAAAATTGATCTATATACAGCACGTATTTTTCCCTTTAAATTTTGCATTGCAAAAGTTACAAAAATTGATTTAATAGTTTTAGTAACACTTGAACCTGTTTTTTTTTTTTTCTTCCGTCCTTAACTCCTTTTTAAAGAGGAACCAAAACAACTATTTGGTTGTGATATTTTACATCACAAAAGTATGAATTTTGTTTTTGATTACACTGTTTGTTTGTTTTTTGTTTTTTTTTACCAAACAGGACTGCGATCATGATCTAGTCCCTGACGAAATGTCAAGTTTAGAAAAATGTTTTGCATGTGGAGGACCTTTTTCGCCTCTGAAATGGAGTGGTGTGAGATGTGAAGGTAATTATTTAATTATGGAAGGTTGGGTACATTAGAATATCTTAAATATGATCCATAAGGAACACTATAAAAACTAATCCATAAGTAAATATGATATATGTTCATAATGAACCTTTTACATCTGCACTTTTTACATATTTACTTACCATGTCATTATTAAAGCTGCTATACCCAATTTGCAAAAACAAGTTAGCCTAACATATTTTTTTTTCATGTTCATAACAACATTTTAACAAAGCATAGCTATAAATGTTGTTTGGAGATTAAAGAAAAAAAAATGAAGTGGTTCTGTTGCATTTGTCTAAAACCATCAGCCAATAACATGGCTCAGTCCAGAAAAACGATAGAACAGTCTTTCCTGACTCCTTAAATTCTACATTAACATGGCTCCACCACACTATGCACTGGCCTGTTTAGCAGCAAAGCACACCAGGGGGTGTGGCCTATGGATAATATCCAATGGGAGGGGGGAGCCTTCTTGACTGTGTTTATGCTTCCATCTAGCCTGTTTTTTTAAATTGGGGAAAGCGGCTTTAACTACCTTTCTTTTATTAACTTAATTTTTCTCTGTCTAGTTTGCTACCAGTCCTGGCACAAAAGATGTTATGTTAGCCACAAGGTGAACCTCACTGAACCTCTTCCAGAGGTAAGTGTTTTTGCAGAATTCTTCTCAGTAAAATATGTAAGGTAAACAAAGTCTTACTTTGTGTTTTTGATTGTTATTAGGTCTTTAGTGAAGATAGTTCAAGTGAGGGGGCTTCATCAGAAGAGGAATATGTGCCAGATTCTATAGCTGACTCAGACAGCTCATGGGACAACAAATCAGAGCCTTTAAATATAAGTTGCAAACAAGTACAGAACTCTGAGATCTCCAGCAGTCAATCTGCTTGCAAAACGAAAAGACCTCGCCTAGAAAGTTTTTTAGAGAGAGTAGGACAAAGAATTTCAGAAGATGCCGAATCAATATCTGAAGATGGAATTGGCACAAGACAGCTCAACGTATCAGGGGTTATTGCCACAGCAGAAAAGTCTGATGCTGAAGGCATTGTTGATGACTCTAATACTACGGCTGAAGATTCCTTAAAAACATCCTCCTCACTAAGAAACAAAACATACTGCTACATTTGTGGAAAACTACAGACAAAGTTTACACGTCATTTAAAAACTCATGAGAAATCACATGCAGATGTTGCTCGAGTTTTAAGTCTTCCCAAGAAGTCCGAAGACCGTTTGAAAATGCTTTCTAAGCTGCGAAACAAAGGAAACCACAGACATAACTCGGAGGTCATCGCAAGTGGGATTGGATCATTAAAAACCAGACGCACATCAAAAAACCCTACAAAGGAAAAGACTATATTCACTGCATTTATTGCGAGGCATTATATCTTAAAAGAGATCTTTGGAGACATGTTCGTAAATGTTCTTCAAAACCAGTGGAGGCCAATTCAGAGGGGGGACGAAAAAAGGTCTTGTCCCTGGCCTGTATGAGTGAGTCAGCTCTGTGTCAGCAAGTTTCCCCCGGTGTTTGGAAGATATTAGCTGTCATGAAAGATGATGAAATAACTTCTACTGTGCGAAGTGACTTCTCTATTCTTCAGCTTGCTCAATCATTCTTTAACAAACATGGGAAAGATCCCACCAAATTTGACTACATTCCCCAGACACTCCGAGAATGTGGAAGACTTCTGCTCACACTTCGGAAAGAATGCTCAATACACACTTTTGAGGATGCTGTAAGACCTGCAAATTTCAATGTGGTTATCAAAGCTGTTAAGAAGGTGTGTGGGTATGATGAAGAAAAGAACTGCTACTCGACTCCAAGCCTTGCTTTAAAGTTGGGACACTCACTGCAGAAAGTCTGTGATATTATACATTGCAGAGCACTGATGGCAGAAACAGTGCACTGATAAAGTCAACCCAGAGTTTCAAAACCCTTTATGCTACAAAGTGGTCAGAACTCATCTCCCATACTGCATTAACCACACTAAACGAGCGGCACTTCAACAAGCCTTCCACACTTCCTTTCACAGAAGATGTTCAGCGTCTTCATAGACATCTGGAGAAGACTACAGAACAAGCACTGAAGGACTTGGAAGAGCATAGTTCACCAAAATCATACAGTGAACTTTGTAAAGCTACCATGGCAAATGTAATACTATTTAACAGGAGAAGAGGGGGAGAAATTTCAAAGATGACACTGAATGGCTTCCAGGAGAGAGACACTAGTACCCTGCACAAGGATGTTGCAATTGGACTGACAAAATTTGAACTTTACCTTTGTCAACACTTCAGTCGTGTAGAATTGAGGGGTAAACGAGGACGCAAGGTTGCAGTGCTACTTTCACCAGACATGGTGAATGCCATAACACGGCTGACAGAGAAAAGACAAGACTGTGGTGTTCTGGCAGAAAACATATTCCTGTTTGCCAGACCTCATTGTCTGACTCCCTACAGAGGACAGGACTGTTTGAGGATTTATGCGACTGAATGTGGGGCTGAAAACCCTGAACACCTACGTTCAACGCAGTTGCGCAAACATGTCGCAACTTTGTCTCAGATCTTAAACCTCAAGAATCACGAGTTAGACCAAGTTGCCAACTTCCTAGGTCATGCATGATATTCGTGTTCATCGCGAATATTATAGACTTCCAGAGGCTACTACCCAGCTTGCCAAAATATCCAAACTACTGATTGCCATGGAGAAAGGGTCTCTCAAAAGCCTTCAAGGCAAAACACTTGAAGAGATTGAAATCGAAGGTAAAGTGGTGTTAAGGTTAAGAATTATACACGTTTCCTGCACTATAACCTTATAATTCATTAAGACAATCTTTTATTTTGTTAGATAACCTACAGTTGACAGATTCAAGTGAAGAAAGTGAGGTCGGAGCGGAGCGTGGTGAGGTCGGAGCGGAGCGTGGTGAGGTCGGAGCGGAGCGTGAGGAGGTCGGAGCGGAGCGTGAGGAGGTCGGAGCGGAGCGTGAGGAGGTCGGAGCGGAGCAGGAGGTCGGAGCGGAGCGTGAGGAGGTCGGAGCGGAGCGTGAGGTCAATGAAGGAAATCTTGTATATCCACAGATTGGTAAGTACAATGTGATTAGTCTCAACTTTGTTCAATTTATGAAATCACATGACTAATAGACTTTATTACAGATTCTATAGATACTAGAATGATGAAGAAAGTTGTCAAGGAACCTCCAGGTATGTGTTTGTCATCATTTATTGAAGCTTTTACCTTTGTAACTACTTCCTAGACACTTTTGCTATCTTTGCTATCTTTATGTAAAAAAAAGATA